TTAAAGTCTTCATTTCGAACTTAAAGACAATAGCCTAAATTACCTGGAAATATTATAATTTCAGATAGCTAACCCCCAAGCTAAATACACCATTAATGAACAAACAGATTATAAGGAATACCCACTTATTAGATCCATAATAACTTAACTACCTAGATTACAATAAATACATTTAATACCCTTAAGCATTCAGTCTTGATGATGATACAACAATCGAAACAGCTGTCGACGCCTATTAAATAAATTTGTGAAACTTTACCAAGTATTTGTTATTTGTTTTAATATTTTAAAATGTTTCACCAAGTAATTTGCGAAAAATCCATCTCCTATAAGTATATAAAATGTTTAAATGTCCGCATGTTCACCGTTTTCAAAAAAAAGGTAATATTACGTGTTCTACTTAAGAACACACAGTGATGTTAAAAATAACAGAGTGTACACAGGGTTTCACAGATATCTGTACTTATTTAATTTATTTCGTCTCAACATAATGTGTAGCACTAAATTGCTTACGTTTATTTGTTTATCTTAGACGTTCAATAAGCGGAAATATTTACTTCTCCACCCTTCTAGCTGTAGAGTTTTTATCACATCGCTACTCAGTATTAGATATCTATGTTGCTAACTGTAAATTATTGATTTTTGCTCTTAACCACGCTATTGAACTCACCGTACGATTGTTTATTGCATCTACTTTGCATCCTCCGAAATTTATTTCTATTACATCCTGTATAGTGTGTTTTGGTGTTAAATACGTGTATTTACATTGATATATTTGAGGCCTGTGATCATCATAACGTCGTCAGTTCTAAGACTTTTTGGACACGTACCTCCAGTCCTTCCTATCCGAAGATAAACTTCGCATTTCCCTAAAACTAGAACATCTCACACCTTTAACTATTTGTGAACACTAACCTAATCTAGGTATCTAGGTCTACTTCTACTCCTCTTAACTCCTGTTTCTGCCTCTAATAATTCTCTGACTAGACCTTCATGGCCGAGAAGGTGTTCTACCAACCTATCCTGCCTATTTTTTATCCACGGTATCCTCATCATTTGCCGGTAACACCACATTGCGAACGTTTCTAACCTTTTCTTTTCCGCCGCGCCTACCGTCCGTGATTATCACCCGCACAGCGCCGCGTTCCAAACATACACCTTTAACAATCTTTTTTAAATTTCCATATTAACCGTTTGCGAGCATAGAAGTAACTTCTTTTTAATGAAGGCGACTCCACCTTATACTATCTTCTGCTTTATATCCGTACTACTCCTTCCATCCTGACTTCTCAGATACCTAAAATTGGCCAGTTAATCGACCTAACCTAACCTAACCTTAAATCAGCCAGTTCTTTTATTTTTTCGTCTCCTATCTTTATATTCGCTCCTTCCTTACTTTTTCTTCCTTTGCATACCAGTATTTTTGTTTTACTTTTATTTATTTTGATACAGTACTGTTTTGTCGGTACCACATCCATTTTATTTAAAGCTATCTGTAACTCCGTAAATAGTGATAAATTAAGTGCCACATTAGAGAACACGTTTTCAGTTATTCGCGACTATTTATCCACTATTTAATCCATCAACCTGTGCCTTTCCATGGAAGAAGAAAATTTTGCAACGGCTGGAGTGACTAGCGATACAACGAAGTTCGGCTATATAACGAATGTTTTAGAACCTCGGTATGCACTCGAAGTGTAACATATTATCATTAATACATCTGCTACCAATGCAACTTTATAAAGTCAACTGATAAAACGCCTAAATACGTTGCCAGATCAGAAAGCGTGCCGCCTGTTGTAGAAAGAAGATGCTGGAGAAAGAAAACCCTCACAATTCTTACGCTATTTGCAAGCACTTGCGGGTTCGGATAAACGAATTCCGTCAGACATCCAAAGTGTCTTGACCCTCCATTGGAATCTATCCCTTCAAAAAGTTTCTGAGCTAACAGATTCAATAGTGGGTCTGACTGAACAATGCCCACGCATCGCCGCAACATCCGCACTAAGCGATCTTCTTACGATTCCCCCCGTGGATCTTCTCTTCTCTTTCTCCTGGCCCTACGCCTGTTTTGCGGATTTCACTTCATTTCCCTTTTCCTCATTTACCCTTGCTCATTATAGGACCTCACATTTTGTTTTCGTCATCGGCACATGGAACTTTTGGAATTTTGTCTTGCTACATTAGTCGTGCTTCCGGAAAAACTCAAGCACGTGCACATGGATCTGTTGTGCTAAGCTCAGAAGGATGCAGGGACTATTTAACGTGTATTGATAGTTTTCCTCGATATCTTAAAGTCATACCAATCGATAAAGCTGAAACCGCAGAGCCTTTTACACTCATTGGGTGTTCAGATTCGGTACACCACTGCACATAAAGGGCAGCAATTCCAGTCGCACTTAATATGTGTGACTGACTACAAAGCAACCATTGAGTTGCCAAAGGCATGATAGAGAGATTCCACCTGTAACTCAAGGCTGCCACCAAATCACTAAATACCCTTTTGTGTTAACTCAGTTACAGTTAGGAAGTCAACTCGAATACATGAATTACAAATCCTGCATGTAAAAATTATTCAAATACTTATAAACTACTAACGTTGCAACTTCGACCGAACGAAATTCGATTATATCGCAAACTACCATCTTACATCTTTTGGGGTGGTATTTTGAAAACTCACTTTATATAGTACATTAAACAAAATCAATTACAACCCGCTTATTCATACAAAATGTCCTAGAAACGGCATTACAAAATATTGAAGGGCGGGGTTTAGGGGAAGTTAAAATTTGTCGTTGTATATTTTTTTAACGAGAAATCTGCGTTATAAAAATTGTTTTCGTCAAAAAAATTATAAAAATTATATTTCGACAACAACGCCATCTATCAAAACTATCCTATCCTTCATGCTGAAACCAACCATACACATGCACAAAATTTCATTGAAATCGGTTGAGTACGAACATAAGTAAATCCCCAAGCCTCCTTTCGTTCCGTGGCGTTGTTTTGAATGACGTGGTCGATTTTCGCGGTGATTGGTTTTGGATTTGAATTTGAATCTAGGCTGCGGGGATTTTTTACTACCGGTGGTAAACTATATTATATAGTACGACTTCTTTTGGATAAATAGTTACCCTTAAAGGTATCGTACCATTTTACCGTCTCAAGAAATAAGTCGTGTCAGTGTGAATAGTTACCCCTGTTTTAATTCATAGTAGGCAAACTCAAGTATTACCGTACCATACCCTTTCCCAATTTTGTAAATCGACTTGTAGTGCTCGTCTACTCTTTTTTTGTAATAAAGATCCTCTAGTGGTGGTAGAATAAAAAACTTAGGGTCACGGTAGGAAAGGGTATCCAAGAAAACATTGTGAAATTATCTTTTGTCTCACCGAGACATACAGAACTTTAGTACCGCCCTTTCGAACTTCTAATTAAGCTAGTAACTTTTGTAAAACTATTAATTTGAGGTGTAATCCGTTCTACGTTAAAGTGCGAACCTACCAGTGTTTTTTTTTTTTTAAATTTATCAAAGTGAATTTCGTTTTATGTGCGAGCTTTTGCACCGAGTGCGGACCCAGTAAATCTTCGTCTAACCCGCCATCGATCACCAGGCTCGGCGCCGATTTTTTCTACCGGGACCTGCGTTCAGCGCCGCTTGACAAGAATCCCTAGTGAAACACGTACGGTCAGCAAGCTTTAGTGTTCGGTCTGCAACTTAACCTTTTATGGTGAGTTCGAACCATTGCGCTGTTACGTAGATATTATAAATACTGTTAAAGGCTTTTCTTTCCGGGTGGAGAGTTGCCTCTTGTACTTTTTATATTTTGTTTCAATATGGATAGCCGGTAACGCCCATTTATCGAAATTGTTTGTCTAAATTGACATTCTATTTTGTTGTTTAATAAAGTATTTTTAAGTTACTACAAATTCGGAATTCGAATAGCTATCCATCAATTCAACCAATATTTCCTTTCATTTATAGATTTGATGATTGCTCTATTATTCCAAATTCTTAAACCAGTAGTATTTGTTAAGTTTTGTATTCTATTTCAATTTTTAATATACATTTTTTTATTCAATTGTACATTGGCGAATTTTTTTTAAAGCTAGAAGTTCGAATATTTATACAATTTTAATTACAGTAACAGCTATTTACATTTACCCCTTTTATATTAAACGATCAACGACCCAAGACTACTAACAGCCTAACAGCCCAGCAATTCTACACCCTCTCGATTAGGGGTGAGAAGTTGTAATGCTATTGTGTGGACGTATTTTGGCGCGACTTTTTTATTATATATTTTTGTTCAGTTTGTGACTAGATATTAGAGCCTCTTTTTACAAAAACTCCTAATAAGTTCCTAATAATTCAAGTTGCAAAGGAAATTACACTGCCGAAAATTGAGTGCATGTGTTTAGTTTTTCCAAATATAACTTGCTAAAAAAGTGCTTACGGGCAATTCCACGGGATAATTTACAGCTTACAAAAAATAACAGAGTAATTATTCAGAAAATCTGTAACTTTTAAAATGACTATAATTCAATTATCATAATACATCTTGTACATTCAGCTTCTTAGATGGTGAAATTAATAGTCTGTCTATCATCAATCTCTTTGCATATAGAGATTTAAATTACACTCTTAGAAATCCTAATATCATTCATAAAACAACTATTAGGTCAAACTTTGCACAAAATAGCCCTGTGGTCAGAATGGGATTAAATTAGAACTCATTGTCAGTGCCGGATTCTGTAAGAACTGTCGAATCAACCCTTTCCTTCGAATATCATGCAAAACAAGATCATATGTATGACTAGTAACCTTAAGAATAGGTATATATGTATACTATAAATTAAATATAATTATTGTTTATATGCACTCCATCCTTGCCGCAAATTAATTTTATTGTATTATTATATGTACCTATAATATACATAAATCATATTATCATATCTACTTGCAGTTTGCAATTGAATGAGAAACCATATGTACTTACTTTTTAACTGCATATGCTTCTTGTAAAATATAGTTGAAAGACTGATTATCTTTCTTCTTTTCAGCTATATCACAAAGATCAGAAGGATTTGTTTTGGGAATTAAAAAGCTCTTTTTATTAATTTTATTGCCTTTTTCATCTTCTTTGTTCAAACCTACAATAGTTTTTTAATTGTATGAAAGGAATTACTTCTCATCTTATTAATTTGAAAATAAAATTAATATTATTAAAGTATATACTAATACTAATGACAAATAGATACCTATTGCACTGAATATAAATTTTACAAACTAATCAAAAATAAACAAACATAACTTAACTAATAAATTATAATTACCTAAATTATATTTACCACTATTAGAGTGTCCAATAAATGATGCAAGAGACTTATTTTTCTCTCCCCTATTTGCAACCGATTCATCTAAAAAGTAATTCATTATATGTATATAGTCTTCAAAATAGATAGCAGATATCTTACTTAATCCTTCGGCAAACAAATTTCTTACATTTTCCTTGATAAAGACTATTGTCACTTTATAATCTCGATATATATAATTAGCGTTTTTTAAATAATACAAAACAGAGCCCATACTTAATTTGGTTATTTTATTTAGTGCTTTGTATTTTTTCATATATTCAAGGGCAATTTTTCTTTTCACATGCAAGTCTTCATCTATTAATCCACATTCATATAAATAATTAATAAAGGCTGCAAAAAAGTATAGTATTTAACAGCTACATAAATATTACTTTGTGTTTGTTAAAATTTAAATTTAATTATATTCATTCAACCCCATCAATATTTAGCACAAATCTATATCTTTAACTAGAGCATTCTTTGACTAAAAAAAGAATAAAAACATTTCTTTCAGTAACAAAAACGTTACCCACTTGTGGCACATATTATTGGATTAAAACATCAAAACAGTAATGTAAAAATCTTTCAAAAACAATGCAATGTCTGGGAACTTACCTTTGGACTGAATTTCAATTCGTTTATTCATCATTATTTTAGGTTCTAACAAAAATTGCAAACAGTCACTAGACATATGAATATCACAAAATGAATCAACATTAATAAAATTATTATTTGTTGTAATTACACATGGTGACACCCTGTAACACACACTATTAATTTTTGTTTCTGTTGGCACACTATTAATATACCTACCTTCCCATGCTGTCAACATGCTGTTTCTATTCTGCTGTTGCTTGCTACATATACAGGAACATCGTTGCCAGATGATTTATTTTGTTCCCTAGTTTTTTTCTATAAAAGTTTTATCAAAATATCGCTGGATTTCATAAAAAAACTTACAACGGCTGAATTTACAGTAAAAAAGATTTGTTAATACCAAAACATTTATTTTTTGTGAATTCGGAGTAAATCTATTTCTTATTTATTTTAATCTTTCACTGCTTTCGTTGTTTATAATTGCCTTACAAATCTTAATTTTGTATCCAAATGAATAAGAATTCTTTTTCTTTAGATATACTACAATTTCCTTAGGTTTGGCAAAAGCTAAAAATTCTAGTACCGTCTAACCGGAACAGGCAGCAGAGTTGATGAATCATAGATAAGAGATATATAGTAGCATAGACATATATTAATGGACGTGCTTTAGCCGTATGTCGTTGTAATAATTTCTTGCCTCGAAAAGTGAGGGAGATGGCGTATGGTTTCATCGACGTTTACTAATGGACATGCTTTAGCGGTCAGAATTGTGGTACAATAAAAGAAAGACATGGAACGAAGTTTCGGACAATATCCATGTCTCTCACGGTAGTGTGTAAGCGTGTCATGAAAGAGTAAGCACTAGTCCGAAACCATACGCCATCACCTTTACTTTTCGAGCCAAGAAATTATTACAACGACATACGGCTAGGGCACGTCCATTATATTATGTCTGTGTGTCCATTAGTAAACGTCAGTGAATAGTAGTAAACTAATGTTTATACTGTGGTAGTATTATATCAGCCTTACTAATTTTCAAGCCCATAGTAGCTAGTAGCCACTAAATACCCTACTAATAATAAGTAGTAGCAGCAAACGACCTACTACTGAACCGAAAACGGTTTTTTTGACGTTTACTTTAACTTTTATGTTTGGAACCATTGTTCTAAAAACGTTAAAAGTATAAGAAAAATATTACAGCATAATTTGTACAAATATTTTTAATTTTTTTTGTTTGTTAAAGGAACTTACCAAGCATTAAAGAATAAAAGAAACAGTTTAGCTGTGTGTGTGTGTGTGTGTGTGTGTGTGTGTGTGTGTGTGGGTGTGTGTGTGTGTGTATGTGTGTGTGTTTCTTGACAGAAAAAAATCGTAATATCCTGTCGTCTATATAGAAGTTTCACTTTAGAAAAGTGAGACAATGATACATTTGTAGGTACATTGATCGCAACCCCCTTAATATCAAGATCAGCTACTGATATCGGTCGGCGGGCTTTTATATGACTGAAGACCTGGTGTATTTATGATGAGGATGGGAAATTAGGAGACATAATAGAAAGTTGGAATTTGACCAACTCATAATCCTTTTGTCGTGTTAATTTCTTCTGAACTTGCAAGCGGAATTTTCTTACAATTTGTTATGGTTTGGTTGATTATGATAAATGGCCCAAAGGGATTAATTAGGTATTGCGGACAACACAGTTAGCAACAGCAACAAGTTATCAGAAGTCCTCCAATGCTCGAAATTTCCACCGTGATGTGCGAAAATGGGCAAATGGTTTGTTGTATCTTTACGCTTATTGGAAGTGATTTAATTCTTCGTTCTGAAGATCAATGTTGTTTGTGTGTTCTGGACCAAATTTAAATAATTTATTTGGTCGACTTCTTGTACGCAGCAGTTTTCTTGTTGTAACGGCAAGTCAGTTTCGAGGGTCATGTTGCGTATTTCGGTAGTTTCAGCTTTGAGGACGATACTGTTGCCAGTTGGTAGTTTCCAACGGAATACCTTGAACAGCACAACGGTCAGGAAATTTGAGTGAAGTTTTCATTAGTATTTCACAAGGGCTGTCTGCGTTGATTGTGTGGGCCTCCAGATGTGGGCGTAACCAAATGTTCTTATTGTTCGTACACGATTTCAGTTCCGAAATAATGGAGAACTCGTTTTTGTCATTAAGGGTTACAAATTGATAGTGAAGCTGTATAATGTGTAATAATTTTGGATTTGATTGATTGGGTACCGGATAGAAAAATATTTTGAACTGGTCGATAAGATCATTATAATATTTTTCGTCGTTGCCATCCATTACTCCGAAGAGCGTATGACATCCTGACTATAATATCGAACCATCGTTTTGTAGAAACGTTTTGTACCATCATCATCATAAGGTCGTCAGTCCTAAGACTGGTTGGACACGTACCTCCACTCTTTCCTATCCTGAGCTATACTTCGCATTTCCCTAAAACTAGAACAGTCCACATCCTTAACTATTTGCGAATAGTAATCTAATCTAGGTCTACCTCTACCCCTTCTAACTCCTGTTTCTGCCTCTAATATGTCTCTGACTAGACCTTCATGCCTGAGAAGGTGACCTACCAACCTATCTCGCCTATTTTTATTGACTTCCATAGAGTCCTCTGTTCTCTTATTCTTTCCAATACCTCTTCATTTCTAACCTTTTCTACCTACGTTATTCTCATCATCCGTCTATAACACTACATTTCGAACGCTTCTAACCTTTTCTATTCCGCCGCGCCCATGTTTCGCACCCGTACAACGCCGTGCTCCAAACATACATCTTTAACAACCTTTTTCGAATTTCAAAATTAACCGTTCGCGAGCATAGAAGTGACTTCTTTTTATTAAAGGCGACACGACCCTGCGCTATCTTCTGCTTTATATCCCTACTACTCCTTCAATCCTGACTTCCTAGGTATCTAAAATCAGCCACTTCTAATTCTTCGTCTCCTATTTTTATATTCACTCTTTCCCTACCTCTTCTTCCCTTGCATATCAGTATTTTAGTTTTATTTTTATGTATTTTCATACAGTACTAATCTGTCATTACCGCTTCCATTTTATTTAAAGCTATCTCTACGTCCTCCTTGCTAGATGCTAATACTGCTATATCATCTGCAAATCTAAGCATACTAATATTTTGCCTTTGCACATCTATGCCTACTGTCTTTAATGATGTTGATAGCGTCTTCGATGTATAGATTAAAAAGTAGTGGTGACAGTGTGCATCCCTGTCTGACTCCCTTCCTAATATTTACTTCTCTACGTTGCATCCCTAGCTCTATAACTGCCTGTTGCTCTTCATACAAACTAAGTATCACCCTTCTAACTTTGTAACTCATCTTGTCCTATTTAACATTGTCAAAAGGTTTCTCTAAATATACAAATCCTATGTACGCACTCTTTCCTTTTTCTATCTTTTTCTCTATTGTTACCCGTAAAGCTAGAATGGCCTCCCGCGTTCGTCTATTTCTTCTAAACCCAAATTGATTTTCCCCTAATAGTTCTTCCGCCCTTTTTTCCATCCTCCTCTGTACAATTATAGTTAAGATTTTTGACGCATGGGAAGTTAAGCTAATTGTTCGAAATGTCTCGCACCTATCCGCGCTCCTCTTCTTAGGTAATGTTACTACTACGTCCCGTTTATAATCCTCTGGGACATTCCCCGTTTCGGAAATGTGACTAACTAGCTTAAACATACGATCTCTAACCTCTTGTCCGGCATGCTTCAAAATTTCCCCCTGTTTCCATCGACACCTGGCGCCTTATTATTCTTTAAATTTTTTAATGCTACATCGAACTCTTCTCTCATTATGGGATAACCAAGCTCATCTATTTCTACACTATCTTCCTTCTCTAATATATCTCCTAACTCAGGGCCTGCGTATAGGTTCTCTAAATATTCTTTCCACCTATCTGCCTTTTCCTCATTTTCTATCAAAATTACCCCTGCCTCGTTTCTTATATTATTACTACTGTACCCTACATTTCTAAAATTCCTTTTAATTATATTATACGCCTCATCAGTTTTACCTATATCAAACTTTTCTTCTACTTCTTTACACATCCTATCAATCCACTGTTTCATAGCTGCCCTACACTTCCTAATTATTTCTCACTTTATAGCTTTATATCTTTTTTGCCCTTCTTCGTCTGTCCTGTTTTTGTATTTCCGCCTTTCGTTTATTAATTCTACAACCTCATTTGTTATCCAGGGTTTCCTAATTTCGTTTTGTTTAAGACCTAATATATCTGTAGCTGCTGACTTTAGGCACGTTTTAATGCAATTCCATTCTGTCTCTATGTCCCCGTCATTCGTTTTTCCAGCCGCCTTCAGTATTTCGTCTGTCCTTTTACCTAGCCTATCACGCGCTTCGTTACATTTTAGCTTTTCTAAGTCGAGACGTCTACTACCTTTCCTCTTTTTCAGAACTTTGAATTTAAGATTGGTGTTCATAACTACTAAGTTATGATCGCTATCTATATCTGCTCCTGGATAACTCCTACAGTCCTTCACTTGATTTTTAAATCTTTGCCTAACAAGTATGCTAACTGATATCTCCCTAAATCACCTGGCATCTTCCACGTATAGCGCCTCCTAACGTGATGGTTGAATAAAGTATTCACCACGGTTAAGTTATGTTTATCGCAAAATTCTATCAGCCTGTATCTCCTATCATTTCTATTGCCTAATCCAAAAAACCTGCTATTGCACCCACTTTACCTTCACCTATTACTGCGTTGAAATCTCCTAAAACTATTAGGTTGTCCTGTCCTTTCACCAAACTTAACTCGTCTTCTATATCTGCATAAACCGCTTCTACGTCTTCATCACTCTACGATGATGTAGGCATGTAGACCTGCAATAATACCGTTTTTATTGGCTTTGAGTTTAATTTAACCATAACTATCCTATTGCTTTTTTGTAAATAACTTTCTACACTCTGCCCTACTCTCCTATGCATTACAATTCCTACTCCCGAATTACCTACTACCGATCCTGTATGTATTACTCTAAAATCCCCACTTCAGAAGTCTACAGCTTCGGGCCAATGGACTTCACTAATACCTACTATATCTAATTCTAATCTATCCATCTCTATTTTTAAATTCTCTAATTTTCCTACTTGCCTCATTGTTATAATATTGCACCTATTCCTATTGCATTTATTGATGACGTCCCTCGAGGTAGTCCCCTCCCGGACATCCGAATGGGGGACTAGTTTACGTTCAGAGTGCTTTACCCCAGAGGACGCCATCATTTAATTTGTGTAGTACATTTTACTCGGGT